ACTCAGTAATAATTTTCACTCGACCACTCAAGCTAGATAACATGTGGAATTTCGTACACACCTTTTCATTGGAGTCAACCTTGTAGTTGGCCATGATGTACTTGAGGACTGCAGCTCGGCTGGAACCATTCCTCTCCTTCAGGGCAGCAATTGCAGCCAACACCATCTCCTTGAAGGCAGGGTGAGAAGCAGCGGCTTTCGGAGCCTTCGGCTTGGTTGTCTTAGGGGCCTTTGCTTTCGGGGCCTTTGCAGGGGTAGCGGGAGCCGCAGCAGGGGCTTCGACGTGGTCAGTCATTTTGGCGAGATTTGAAATTTGGAACTGGCTCACAAAAAAATTGCTTGAGTATACGGCGAATTCTGCTTTGCTCAGACGATGCTTGCGAATTGATACCCGCTGCATGCGTCAGCTGGGTATATGAGAGGCGGCGGCGGACGGCATTGCAAGCACGAAGGATAAAGGGGGTGTCAGCAGGCGCGGGAAGTGCCAGGAGAACGAAGATTTTTGAATTACATTTCTTCCAAAAATGTTTATAATTCGAAAAATAGCATAATGTTTTTCTAGATTTTACCATACGGTAGAAAAGTATCATTATCAACCCAGCTTCAAATTTTTTTGTCAAAAATCTGGTTTTAGGCGGTACCTACGGGAGTAACACTCTGTCCCAGCACTGCTCTGTCACGCAATAATTTGACAAAAATGCTCAGAAATGTCAAATTAAATTACTTTTTGCACATGATTTTGATCCCCGTCAATGTGGAAGAGATTGAGCTTCGATTTGGTACATAATTTCTGCTGTGAACAAGAATAATGTCTTCCTCCAGGAGGCTGAAAGTGGACCGCTCAAGCACATCTTGTCATCAGGCGTGGGGCTGTTCTTCCTATGGACAATTCATGAAAATTTTGAAAATAATTTAATTTCAAAAATTAGGATGATAGTTTGTGACAATCACTTCTCACAACATTTCTCTCTCCATTTTTCGTAAAAAGTATCAGCAATTCCATTTACATTCTCTTGAAAACTATGCCTATTCCCGTTGCCCAGAAATGGTACAACTGTACCTTAGTGTCGTTAAGCATGAAGTGTATTTTTCTGTTTCAATTTTGAAAAGTCAATGTGAATAGTTTTTATTTACCTTTTATTTTGAAATGGACGATATCCATAAAATTTATCGACAAATGAATTTAAGCTTAATCCTATTAAAACTGTATGAGCACAGTATGTTGGTTTCGATCAGCGGGAACCTTTTTTTATTTATTGGAGACATAAGCTTATTATTTCGAAAATCTTTGGTTTGAATAACTCATCCACTAAACCTTTGGCACGAGGAGTGTTGCTTTATTTTTGCCCTTTTGTGAAATAGAAACAGTATGCATTTTTAAACATTGAAAGTTGAACACAACATACCAGCACGTACGTCGCAGCAATAATCATACTGTAGATATTATGTTGTACCCGAGTTTAAGCCCATCATATACGCTAATTAGATCGAATTCATTAATAAGATGCTCTGAAATCAAGGTAAAGTTGAAGGTTTAAATTGAATTTCGAGGGAGCAGCGAAAAAAAAAAACTCGACTTGGGAAGGTTTTGACTTTTGCTTCTTGTGGGGAACATAGGAGAATCCCTGCTGGGAATTGAAGATGGTGATATTCTGGGCCTTAAAAGATTTCTAAATGAGTTGAAAGCTAGGATCCTGAACTTGGAAACAAGCATCAGGGGTTCATTTGTCCAATTAGTTTTTAAATTCTTTTCAGAACATACTAATTTACAGTACTTTTTTACCCTTCTCTTACCTTTGTAAATGAAAAAAGTAGCCAAAATTCTTTTATGCTTTTAATTTCAAGGCAACGCATTTGTTTCAAATTCATTGTGGAAAAATAATCATGTATATCAGCAACCAAAGTACTACAATTGTGCCAAAAATGTCAATTCAACATGCAAAATGGAATAACTTCTTTCAGATCCCAACTTGGCTAGGAAGTTTAGATTGCAGACTTGAAATTGTAGTTTGAAATCACCTGAAATGAAGGAGGCATTGTCACATACATGAAGCAATTACTTTTTCTTGAAAATCCACAAGAACTGTGCAAATGCGGCTGATTGAAGTTCATGAATATTTTTTGGATGTTGACTGAAAAAGTTGTACTAAAACCTTAATTATCATACACAAACACTAGAGACATAAATGAATGCAAATTGTCATGGCTGTAATTCATTTCTCAAATACTACTGTGCTGCTTTGACTCACACACAATGACACAATACATCAAAACACATACAGAAGTACATTACAGATTCTATCAAGTATAAGTAAATAATTTATAATTATTACAACGTTAATTAAACATTATTTAAAATTGCTTCAGCACAAAGCTAAATGAATAAATAATCAAGCTGTAGCATTTAATCCCAGGCGTTTAAACCAGTACTGCATACTGTACATTTATGTTTCCCCATATTTTTCTCAAAAATTATTGCGCATGGATGACAGCCCCATGCAGCATTCAAAAATAACTGGTCTACTGTGTGTCAATGATAGGCCATGACATTTTTTGTGGATGCCCATATTGGCAAAATGACACCAATAAACCCTTCATGAAATGTTATGACATATTCAAACCTAAGAATGAATTTTGCAGATTTACGAAGAAAATACTACAGTATATGCATTAATGAGCAGACCTTTGTTTCTGACTGTTCATGATAATCACCGCATTTATCAAAACCTAAATCCAGCAATCGCTTCCTGGGTAACCACAAAATATTCAAAAGACTTAACATAGGGAGAAGATTCAAATTTGTGTTCTCCCACCATAGGAAAGGAAGTCCATTATGGGAACAGGGGAGGGAATATAAAGGATATGATAACTACAGTGCAGGGAGTAAAGAGGGGATTCATCTAACCCCACCACTGGTATCCACAAAGAAGGAGAGAGAATGTGTGTTTCAGTTACTACAACCAAGGAGAGGATCAGTTTTTGGCGCGCTTTTCATGGAGGAAATTCAAATTGGTGTGTATGTGCGGGAGGGGGGGGTGTATTGCGCGCGCGGGAAGACAGGCATTCTCATGGGTCGTTTACCCTCAGGGTTGCCAGAGCAACATGTACACAAACACTAAACATGGCCTTTTTTATCTAATTCACAATTTGTGTTTCTCCTCTTGAATAGAGACACAAACATGTTAGTATTTCAGAGGATTAATATGACATGAACGAAAGTGGGGAACCTTATATACACTGTATCTTAAATTTGCACTTAATTATTACCACGGTGCATTAATTATTAATGCACCGATTAATAAAAAAGCAAGTCAAATGCCTTATGGGATAATGATCCTAATGGTATTGATTTTAAGCCTAAATTCACTTTCCCAATAATATTGTCAAACACCATTAAGAAAAATTGAAGCCTTTGTGGGCAGCTATAAAAAAAATGAATGTAACTTGCTTCCTCACAAGGTTTGACAAACTTTTTGCATGCATAAATCACAAGAGGTTCGCATTTATTTTGCCATGTAGAAACTTTCGCGAGAATAATACAGTTTTCTGTCATTTAACAACATGATCATGATGATGAAGTGTTGATCAAATTAAATGTAAACCTTGATGAAATCACTTTTGCATGTCACACAAGGTGACTTCTGCGCCTCGGTTAAACTACGGTATATTTGAGGAAATTTCATTTTCAGATCATTTTTAATGAGTGAATTTCTGCTCTAAAATAATCTCGCTTTGCACATTTTGTTAGATCTATGCCTTGTATTATACGCTTTAAGTAGTCAAACTACATTATTCCAATTCTAAATGTGCCATATTTTGTACTCAACATGCATTTTGACTTGACCGCACTTATTATAAACTTTTAATAATTGTATTGCGTTTACGCAGATGTTGCAGTTTACCATATTTTTGGGCTAGCGGGTTTTTGTACTTGAGGTTGGATTATCTTCAGCATTCCAGCGGTTGTTCCTTCTCTCCATCCGTGGCTTGGAAAAATCACAAGGCCTGGGTGAAATCCGGGAATTCCGAGGAACATGCCTGGGATTGAAAATTCCGTTGAAGAAAGGGGTTTTGTTTCCAAATGTGACCTTGTTTCGAGAATAAGCGGGATGAGGGTAATTAGCGACTGTGGAATTGTTGTTGACAAAAAAAATATATATAACCAGTGCAAGAGAGATTAGTTCTATTTCTTCAGAGTATATAAAGCTTCGAAGTATTTAAAGTTTCTCATTCACGTTTGGTGCAGTACGTTGGTTGGTCGATCAAATAGACGGCTGTCGAGTCAACTACAAGTTCTTCTTATAGCCACAACGTTTAGAATCCATAATTTCTCATCCCCGATATTAACATGAAGGTAAGTGTATACTTTAAATAGGTGTCATTTTCATCTTGGTTGTAATTTGGTGTTTTATCTCACTTTTAGATGCTGATTTTGTTCGCTGTTTTCTGCGGCATGGGTGAGTGTTACATTCGTGATTTCTATTGAATTGTGCATTTCGTCTTTGAAATAAATTAAAAACGTAAACGAGGAGCCTTCAAGTGTAAATTCAGGTTTCCCGAATAAATACCATTCGAACCAGTGCTGGCGTAGGACGAGCGTCTTATTTCCAAAATTATGTAGCATATCCTTTAAACTAATACTACAATTTTAAAACATATTTTCGAATCACAGTATTTTCTCAACGAAACGGTTGGTTTTAATTCTCCTTTCATCTGGTTTCTCTGTTACAAGGCTAAAAACAAAGCATTCAAATGCATATTAATGTCTAAATACTTCTGAATTTTACAAGTGGTTCAAAAAAAGTTTTAAAAATTGTGTTTCGTGCTAAACGTAAATATATTTCTGATTTTCAAGACGTATGAGAATGTGCGAAGCTTCGAAAGTGTTCGTTTATTGAATTATTTTCTCTGTTATATGTCAAAAACTCTCCTGTGAGTCGAGGTAATATAGTATTTAAACTTTGATTTTGAATTCTTCAGCAAAAATTGCTCAGAACATGGCGTCTGCTCGATTTTCAAGCCCTAATTCTTGTTTTTCAGGCGTCGAAACATTTTAGGAAAAAGTAAAAGTATTGATTATTTATTCATTAATTCCGTAAAGTACGAATTTTATATTGCTTGTTTACTCTCAGCAATCGTTCGTCACAAATACAAGAGGCATTTAAAATTGTGTCAATTGTTGATTCTGTTGTGCACTGAACTAATTTTACACCGATCTTTTTGTCGAGACGTGATTTAGTGTAAATAAATATGAGACAATTTTGCTTTAAAAGTATTCATTATTTATACATGATTATTGATTATTTATACTTGACCGGAAATTGCGGCTCTCCGTCATCAATGATGGAAGAATATTGAAAATTGCCAATGAAATAAAATATTATAAGTGTAACGAAATTCGATCTCATTTCAACTTTCCTGCTTGTTCGAAATAATTTTTGAAAGTAAAGATGAATATGGATCTTGATCCACTGATTCTAAATGATACTTCAATATTCCAACCCGGCCTCCTGAAAAATTACAACAGTATTCCCAAGACCTGATCATGACGCTTAACATTTCTTTTTCAACTTTTGTGTTTTCTGCAGCCTTTGCGAATGGCCCCTCTCATCAAGCTGGCGGCGGACAATCCTTCAACGCACCACCTCAACCCTATCAGCCACCAGCTCAGGCGTTCCAGACACCACCTCCAGCCCAACAGCAGTACCAGCCTCCTGCTCAAACTTACGAAACGCCAGCACCTCCACCTCCTCCACCATCAGTCTACGAGACCCCAGCGCAAACATACCAGACTCCGGCACCAGCTTACAGTCCTCCTCCACAGACCTACGAAACCCCAGCGCCCGTCTACAGCCCTCCTCCACCGACCTACAACACTCCAGCACCATTGTACCAGCCTCCTCCACAGTCCTATGGTGTCCCATCAGTTCAACAAGGCCGCTATCGTCGCTCAGCTGGGCACAAGTTTGGGAAGAAGCATGGCAAGATTCAACACTGACAGTGTTCTAGAATCGACGTATGATATGAAAGCTACAAATTTTACTTTGTGCACCTCTGGAAATTTTTGTATGTTCATTATGACGACAGATAAATTATTACTTCTGCATTCAAGCTGAACTATAGATTTATTCTAAAATTCTTTATGTAGCCTTCTCCGTGTCACTTTGGCTACCTACGATTACTCATACACCTATGCAGTGCCAAGAAGAAAAAAAAACTTCAATTCAGTTGTTTTCAAACGCAAGACAAAGTGTGTGGGTGGAATAACGACGTAATTTATACCTGTTCAATAAAACCCTTGTTCTACGTGCCCCATTATTGCAATTACAGTACAGTAGTTGCGTATGTCACGTAAACATACGCAAGACCTGATCATGACGGTAGGAGGCTGGTAGGCTGGTTGCGTATGTCACGTAAACATATGTACTGCTGTTGTGTTCCCGATCTACGCTATGAAGTGTTTCACTGGGGAATCGCTGCACTTGAACTCTTCACAAATCTTTTTCTTTCTCATAGAAAATTAATCACAGGAGTGGAAGTACCAGGGACTTTCCTTAAATCTGGAAGTGCATTGAAAATGTTTCGGACAAGAAAATATATTGTGGAAAGTGAGAACAAAACGACTGCTTGTGAAAAAAATAACATGAACTGTAAAGATAATGAGAACAACCCATGTTCACGTCATCAGTCAAAAAGAACCCCTCGTTTTCAGCAACAGGAATTTGATTATAATCATGGATGTGGAAGAGGTACCATGAATATGTGAGAAAGCATGCTTTGTTTCCATCTAGTGTGCCAAATCATACAATATCAGCTATCGTGAGTGTGTTTACGAAGTTCGAAGTCGTGTAAAGTCGGGATGTGGCATCTGAGATAAAATTCATCAGCTGTTGCATTCAACGAAAATAATCCAAAATATAGCAAATACCATCGTGTAATAACCAATCCATAACAAAACATATAAATATCATTCACACCAAGCTCGACCATGCATTCTGCTGACACACGAAAGACTTCCGAAAAAAAAACAAGACGTTGTTGCCACAAAAGATCAGGAAATTAGCTGAGATCACCGGCAACAAGCAACAACGAAGACTTTTCAACTCATCTTAGAAGATCAAACAGTTATGCTCATTCACTTCTTTGCTGCAGCCTTCTTGGGTGATGCCTTCTTTTTCGGGGCAGCCTTGGGCTTCTTGGCTGCTGCGGGTTTCTTAGCTGCCTTCGGCTTCTTTGCTGCGGCGGGTTTTGCCTTTGCTGGGGACTTGGCCTTCTTTGCCACGGCGGGCTTGGCTGCCTTTGGCTTCTTTGCTGACACTGCCTTCGTCACCTTCTTCACTGCAGCCTTCTTTGGGGTCTTCACCTTCTTGGGCTTCTCTGCTTTGACAACCTTCGGCTTGGTTGCCTTGGGCTTCTCAGCCAACTTGA